ACACTGGTTTGTATGGAGTCTTCTGCAGCAGAGCCTACATACTTAACAGATAATGCCACGGGAAGAGTGAGAGTCAAGCTCTGAAAGGCCAGAGTTTTCTTGCAGCATGGGACTCCTACAATGCTAATTCATTGTAAAGATTTGGAGTTGACATTGAGTTAACTAAGGAGTCACTGGAGGTCTGGAAATATGTAGCATATTTTGGAAGATTCCTACGTCTCTCAAAATATTGAAGAGCAGAAGGAAACATAAAAGGTAAGATGAAAGATTCTTCTTGCAATCCAAAAGAAAAATGGTGACTTGTACTTGGAAGGACCAAGTCACCATTTAGTGGATCCACCATAGTAGTGGAAGAGAAAGGAGTAAGAATATTGCTGTACTACTCAATAATGAATGGTCTGAGGGAGGAAGAATGCAATAGACACCCAAGGAGTACCTTCAACTAGCTGCAGGCTGAACATGGCCTTGACTGGGATATCTGAGACAACAGGAAGAGAAGGTGGCAAAAGTCTGTTCAGAAGGACACTATCAGACAACCGAAGGCATTGCAAGACAGCAGATATGTAAGCCCAAAGATCATGGGTGGAATCTGGAGTGGAAATAAGTACGAGAGTCATCCGCAGCAGGCTGAATGAGCTTACCAAGGAAGTGAATCTGAGTACAAAAGAAGAGAGCAAGACCATGCTGGTACAAATTTGATCAAGGAAGTTGAGGCGGATGAGTGAACTGGGACAGATCCTGGAATGTGCTGTGTCCAGAGAAAACAAGTAGGAAGGAGAGAGGAACTAACAGTGTTACACGCTGCTGCTGAGCAAGTATGATGGGTCCTAAGCGCTACCCACATAGTGTCAAAGTCACACACAACTGAGGACAACCTCAATGAAAGTGAACATGGAGGAGGATTATGATGGGTTCAGTAAAAATGAAGAAGGCAGGGAGTGACAGGAAGTGTAAGTCAGTCTTCCAGGAATTCTTAGAAGACCCACAGAGGAGTGTGAGAATGAATAGAAGTGGTAATAGGTGGGCAAGGTTTTGCTTGGAGTTTTTAAAAATAACAGTATGTTTGTCTGTTTATGGAAATTATTCTAGAGAGAGAAATGTTTGAATGATTTAAGACAAAGAGAGCTTCTAGGATTTACCCTTGAATAAGAGAGTGATAAAGTAATAGAAAGCACCAATCTAGGTTGCCTTATAGGAGCCCAGAGAGCTCCCTCAGATAGTGAGCCATAGCAGTAGATAGGCAGCCTGGGAACTCAGAGACACTCTCCTGATTGCCTGTTGTCCCTGTGATGTTAGATGATATAAAGACAGACAAGGAAGCAACGTTTAAGGATGAAGGGCAAAGCAAGAAGCAGTTGTCTAAGACAGTGGAGCCAACAGATAAAACTACAGTGTGACATGGCCAAGCTAAAGGTCCTTATTCTGCTTCCATGAATTTGTCATGAGCCATTCCACAATGGCTGGGGCATCTGTGTTCTGCTTCCAGACACAGAGCTGTATAGGGCATGCAGGTACTGAAGTTAAAGAGTGAAGTTGGGAGCATGATGCAAGATTTGTGCATCAAGGTAGATGCCAGGTCACATTTAAGAAAGATGGACAAGGTGATACAGAAGAGGGAGAGATAATATTGGAAGAGGACTGTTGAGTAAGGGCTCCTAGAGAAAAGAAGCATGGAAGACAGAAAGTGGCAAAAGGAGAGGGTAAGTGGACATTGCACCCACAGCTAGGTGACTCAGAGTGATATGGACAAAAGTTACACTAATGCTTCCAAAATGTACACAGAGTGGGCCTGGAGCTCATGTGTGGATGCCCGACTTGGATCAGTGTGTCTGGGTGGGCAGAGCCTGAGACTGTGCAACCCATCTTGCTCCTCAGGTGGTATTAGCACTGTCAGTCTAGAGATCTCATTTTAAAAGTCAGTAATTTAACAGTAACTTATAACCCTTAAGAGAGATTTAAAAACACCGAGGGTAGAACTCTTTAGACTGAGAATCCTTATTTTTTTAGCAGGGGGGAGGAGATTTATTTTCTGTGTCAAATTTAGAACTGATATATTAGAAACATTCTCCAAGTTACCCTACTGTGAAGCCAATGTTGAAAACCTCTACAAAAGATGTGTGACCTAAAAGGATAAGATTATTGTAGGTAGATACAATACTGGGTGGGGGAGGGGAAGAAATCAGATGTGTCATCTTTATGGTTATTAATATAATTAGAAGTTGTGCTGGATAAGATGACAATAGCCTAGATACATGAAGATTCCTGCGAAAGTAATGTAGGTATCAGGTGATACCTCATGACCTGAGATCAAAAGCAAGAGAGATGAGAGAGAATGGTCTGGAACACCAGTGTAAAATAAAGGCACTTACCCAAAAACAGGCTCAGGGGTTTGTCGTACTTAGGAAACCAAATACCTTCCACTTAGAAAGACTTCAGAGGAAACACGGACATCAAAAGGCATGACGTTTAGATGAGGAACAGAAAAAGTCGACATTCTAAGATGGCTTTCTGAAGGATTCTGTTGCCTGGTTCCACAGCAGAAGAACCCTGACCTGTTTACACAGGAGGGTCTGATCTTAGAGCAGAGGGTAGAACACATCAAGGGTACAGGAATGCAGGGCAGTGTGAGACTTTACCAGAGCTCCCCTCTTCCTCTCTGTGCTGTTTTCTAATACTGCAACCCATTATTTCTTACAAGGCTGGCATATAGGCCAACACGGAAAACTGCTCAAAGCAGAACTGCTGTGATCAAAACAGCCAGTAAGTAGATAAGAAAGGCAGTGCCCTTCCTCAAGAACCTGAGGCACTCACTTCAACACAGGAGCTTCTCGGGTCCTAGATGTCCCACCATGGAGACATTGGAAGAAAATGTGGCTGTATGTATGAAAATAGAAAGATAATGCACCAAAAACTCAGGCCAGACTCTCAAAATCGTTTGTCATCTGTGTAAATGGACTTCTTTCTTCCATGTAATAAGCTCTTTAAATAAACTAGAGGTTAGTAATACACCCTGGGCTCTTTTTATGTCAACTGTGATTAGAATAGTATCACTGTTGTTAAACAGATTATCTGTCTACATAGAGAACCCAGAAGCAAGCCATGGGCCTAAGGGATGAATGTAATCATTCTTTAAGGAGGTGCTCCAAGAAAAATGAGCAGGGAAAACATGAGCAAAAAGAAAATGATAGACAAGAAGACTGAAAATTCAAATATAATCTCAGGAGAAATGTTCCTGATCCCACGGGGGAACCTCGGAGAACTGCACCACAGAAATGACTCAGCTGGTGCTTATGAGTCTGTGTAGCACAGAACCATGACAGACAGGAACATTGTGGGAGAAAATGTAAACTCATAGACACATCCAAGGAAAAGAGAATCCCTACGTCTGAGGGATATCATTCAAGGAGGGAGAGCAAAATGCACTCAAGACAAGGCTTATTCTGAGTACAAAATCAGCAGTCACATCTTCAGTGAGCAAGAAAGTTTTCTTTACAATAGGACAGATACTCAAGGTCAAAACTAGACCAAGAAATAATCAAGTCAACTATCAGTATTGTCAAGTAGATATCTGTAGTATGTCTTGAGACCTTGAATATACACACATGTAAATATATTACAGGTAGTCACTGGCATCATGGGTGGTCTGCATCTGACAACAAAGTTCATATTTGAAAGTCCAGTTTTAAATGGATCCCATTCTCCTTCTCCCTACTATTAGTGCAAATATCATGAATGTTTAACGGCTTTCAAATTTGCAGGATTACAAATAGTGGCTCTCGTCTGTGCCTCCATCCACTTCTGTTTCTCAGGAGTATGGTTGTTTTTTGTGTTTCCCTCTTAATGCTGGCTTCTTGTCTGTGGATTAGAGAAGTGTAACTGGCCGTCCCTTGCCTTACAGAAGTAACTTAGAACTGTGCTGTTTCGAGTTCACTGACAGATTTAGAGATTAATTTCTAGACTTCTTACAGTGCTGAGGAAGCTCTTTAAGATTTTGAAAATGGCAACAATATTGACTCCCTCCCACTAAAGGTTACCTGTGTCCACATCCGCTGTAATGCAAGAGGAAAGTTGAACTGTGGTAAATATCAATGCTGTTTTCCTTTATGGAAAAATTGGTTCACAAGGAAACAAATCTTGCCAGGATAAAAAACAGTTTACCCTCCAGAAGGACAGTTTGTATGAGAATATTTCTCTTTTTTTATTCAGAAAGGAGAGTGCAACTGTTGTTAAACCAATAGTATTTGCATAGCAAAACAATGGCTTGATAGTGTTGAATAGTCATGTCTTAGGTCTGATTCTTCAAAAGCAACCTAGGAACCAACGATTTGAATACTAAAGTATTTATTCAAAAGAGATTTGAGTGCAATTTACGAGCTATTTGGATTGTGTTGGGGGTTGGTAAGGAAACTTTCCTACCCCCTCGAATATTTTGGCTTATATGCATCTCCAAATATGTGTTTGGCTACATTTTAAGGTCTGTGCATTTTCAGGGAAATTTAATCCATATGTTGCAGAGAGGCTACAGGTAAATCATCCAAATGTTGCTTTATTAGTGCTCCATGATGTCTGAGATGCCTTTTGAGCTTTTTTATAGTCTTATATTCTTTTCTGTAAAGCAGCAGGTAAGTTGCCAAGAGTAAACAAATCAAATAGCAAAAGGTTTAGGTTAGGTTTGAAATGCTTTGCCTGTTATTTTTGATTGGGTTCTGTACTTGGCAGTGCTCATTCTCCATTCCTGCCTGCAGGGCAAAGTGAAAACAATTTGAGCACTGTATTTCCCAACTGGTTCATTGACATTTGAGAATAATGTAGTGCAGACAGAATCAGCATGTTTGGCAGGTGAGTGATACCTAATATGACCTCGGAAAGTTACTTTCCTCTCCTTGGCAGAGGTTCATAGCATGAAAAGATGTTATACATACTACAAAACCCAGGTCAGGACAAGCAGCCATGCAGGGGTCCAGACTGGGGATTTATCAAATTTTCTTGTATATCTTTAGGTGGAGTGGCTAAAGAATGAAGACATAATTGATCCTATTGAAGATCGAAATTTTTATATTACTATTGATCACAACCTGATCATCAAGCAGGCCCGGCTCTCAGACACAGCAAATTATACCTGTGTTGCCAAAAACATTGTTGCCAAGAGGAAAAGCACCACGGCCACTGTCATCGTGTATGGTAAGTGAGAGCCCAGGGTTTCAGTCCAGCATGTGTCAAGCCATTCTTTCTTATTAATAGTATTATTTCATTTTAGAATATCCAACTACCAATAATCTCTTTTAAATTCCCACTACTGTTCCTTGCAAGCTCGTGCATGGTTGTAAGGTTTACTTACTTCCAGGAGGCTCATAAGAGTGGTGAATCTTATCACCTGGTAAGCCTTGGTAACCTACTCAAGAGTCCACTGCTTCTTGGACATCTCACTTCTCAAGGAGAATGAGTACCAACAAGACCTGACTAAGTTTGGGACAGAACAAAGTTCAAGACAGACCAATGGTTTTTTCCTTTAAATCTAGGCTCGGATCCACAACTACAGAAACACAGGAAAGATGAAACAAACATATTCTGCAAACACATTCAGTCCCCTCCACCCCTGAACTTGCTTTCTTGCCTCCACCCAAGGACTATGGGGCCATAAGAAAGACAACTGTGATCAAGGGACTGCCACTCCCATAGCATGGAAGACTTTCCATTATCTGACCCCCTCTCACCCTGATCATCTCTTAATCTATTGATTCTCTTCAAGTGTCAAACAATTCTACACCCCATTTTGGTGTGGCATCAATGCTATTACCTCCCTATGCAGCTGGCGCTCCATTATTCCCTAGCTATTTCAGAAGACGAGTCGTTCCACAGCTAAGCTTTCAGCTATTCCGTACACTAAGAGATTACACTATACATTTACATAATTCTCAGAACATTAGGTCTTTATTATATTGACATATTATCATAGAAAAAAATAAACACCAAGTCTTTGAGAGGACATTTCCTCTTGAACAAGAATCCAAGTTTTACTTCTGCACAGAAAATAGTGAAGCTACCCCTCCCTAGTTCTGTGGTCAGCCTTATGCCTGGATTCTGATAGCCTATGAAGGGTGTACTGTCACTGGGCATATCCTGACAATTACTTCAGAGAGCCCTAAAGGAGATAAGATTAAGATAACATACGGTATCAAAGAATATTCCATTCCAACTTTCTGGCCATTTTCTTAAGTTGAAGGCAATTTAATAATAGCAAGTCAGAAGAGATCACCCCAAATTTCCTCTTTACCTTAGATACAAGAGAAGTTCCCAGGAAAATTACTTTCCATACATGAAAAAGAAAATAAATTTCTTGTCATTGAGGAAAGAAACTTGAAAGCAGGAGAGTTCCATGCAGATCTTATTCAGTAAATCTTAGTAACCTTTTCAAAACTTACCACTCTTGGGTCTACTTCCACACATACATACATGTTAATTCTTATGGCATGTGTGGCTTTTTATTTCTTTTTGATGTGCCCATGATGCATAAACATGGGTTGAATCCCTTTGTGTGTTTTTTACCTGTTGATTCATCTTACATCAGTTTAATTCTCATATCAAACTAAAAGGAAACCTATAGAGTATATATATATATATATATATATATATATATATATATATATATAGAAAGAGAGAGAGAGAGAGAGAGAGAGAGAGAGAGAGAGAGAGAGAGAGAGAGAGAGAGGGAGAGACAGGGAGAGAAAGAGACAGAGAGATTAATTTGCTCCCTCTCTGACAGTACCATTGTGTGGTTGTATCACTGACAAAATGAGGAGACACAAAAACAGAAATCATCATGATGTTCCAGAGGCTGCACAGAGATACTTTGAAAGTGCCATTTTAATTACAGAACAGAAGCATTCCAATTTTTTTTAATCCTCTGATTACTCTGGAGTTTAATTTCCTAGTCCAGATAATGGCTATGTTGAATTGTAAGCAATTGTATTCTTTAAATCACACGAAATTGTTTTGTACTTTTTATCTTAGTTTAAACTGCCTGAAACACTTGATTAACAACATTTAAAATGCAAAGAAGCAATGGGGCCCAATCATAGTATGTGCCAATCACAAATAACTAATGAAGGCACACTATAAATAGATGCATCCTATAGGTATTTAATATAGATACAAATCTTTTTCTAGATATAGCATGATTTCAATACCTGCAAATGTAATGACAACATTGTTATGAGGAAGGATCATACATAATTAGCTTAAGCGTTTTTAGACAAGGGTCAGGACCAAAGATGAAGCCACTAGGCCTTGATCAGCAACTATCTAGCTTTTTAACTTGTAAGTTTAGAGTCCTTTTCTCTTTCTCTGTAAATTGAGGGATGTGTCCAGTATCTGCAAAAAAAAAAATGTCTAAAAGTTTCTGATTTTTAGAAAAGACAGAATGTCAACAGACTGGAAATTGTACATGTAACTTAGAATCTCAGCTTCCCATGTTAGTAAACAATATACATGACAACATTGTAACATTTGAGATGCTAGAAATCTTAGCAGGGAACTTGATTTGGGAGCTCTAGCTGAAACCCTACCTGTCAACCATCTGCTCATGCTTTTCATGGCTCCATAAAGTGAGTTGTCCAAGGCTCATAGGTTGGGCTCATCAGTCGATAGAAACATTTCATCATTTCATATTCTGAATCTATTTTATATCTGCTTTTTCATTACTCTCACTTTTGGCTTATAAATGTATATTCATCAGAGAAAATTTGGAAAAAAAGGTCAAAGAAGTTGTCTTTGATCCTATCATCTACAGATAGTGTTTTTGAAATCAATATGATACCACTGGTATTTTATATGTATAGGTAGTACATTAAGATAATAACTACACATGTTACTTTTATTTAATGTACAATGTTAAACATCTATGTTTTATTACATAACCTCCTCTTTTATCATTTTTTTCCCCCGTAGCTGAGGACCAAACCCAGGGCCTTGCGCTTGCTAGGCAAGCGCTCTACCACTGAGCTAAATCCCCAACCCCCTCTTTTATTATTTTAATGGCATAATTGTACAACTTAACATTTTCCTATATTTAACATCATAAGTGCTTCTAATTATTTATCACTATGTTAGAAATCTTTTATGAAGATACCTTTGTTCATGTCTGAAATGCAGTCATGTTTATTTCCTGATTAACAGATTTCCTAGAAAATATAATTTGGAGCAAATAATTAGCATTGCATGTGTAAAATCTGTGTTGATTCAGTAACTAACCTTCTTTACCTCAAGGAAACTTGTTCCATAGTGTTCTAACTAGCAGCAAACAATTCATGTTTAAAATTACTTCATTAAAAAATTATATAAGCGCTGGGTGGCATTGGCACTCGTGAGGCAGAGCCAGGCAGATCTCTGTGAGTTCAACACCAGCCTGGTCTACAGAGACAGATTCAGGAAAGGCACCAAAACTACACAAAGAATACCCTGTCTCAAAAAAACTATATATATATATATATATATATATATATATATATATATATATATATACACAAATTATTGAACTACTTTTTAAAAATATCATAATATTTTCTAGAGGCAGATGTCCAGAAATGAATAGTGAGTTGTGTGGAATTCTTGTTTTGTAATCACATACAATTGACCCCTCCATCACATACCATAATTAGCCTTTCTGCGCAATATGAGTATCTATTTCAAATATACTAACCAATTGCCAGCTCAATCAGATGGCCAATTTATTTAAAACAAGGATACTGGAAGATACAATTCTGTTATTTGGTTCATATAGGTTTGCGGGTTTGTGAAACTGGATAAAATTCCTTGAAAAGCTGTGAAGTTTGAAAATGCTGAAGAAAAATAATTAATCATTTGTTTTTTAGATAGTCAAAGTGATTTTATTTAGTTCCCAGGCTTAGGTTCACAGGCTTGGCATCCAGATGTAAACATTTGTTATGTGAGATAAGCTGTCAAAAGTAATTTTTGGAGTTTAACTAGGTAAAGGGATATTTTTTTTCTTAAGAATGTTAGCCAAGGAAAAGAGAACATAGTCTTATTTATTTTTATAAGTGAGTAACTCATGGAAAATAATTTTATATATCTCGATTTAGATTTTTCAGCTATACAACAAAACTCTGAAATGATATCCATGGCCTCCTCTAGCATTGAAATCTTGTTCTTTTTATGGCTACATGGGGAATGATTCTAGTCTTTATGCTGTGTGTGGCTTGTGTGCTGTATGTTCCCATGTGTTTAACCTACCATTTGTGGTTTGTCTCATTCAGTTAACGGTGGCTGGTCCACTTGGACAGAGTGGTCTGTGTGTAACAGCCGCTGTGGACGAGGATATCAGAAACGTACAAGAACCTGCACCAATCCTGCCCCACTAAATGGTGGGGCCTTCTGTGAGGGACAGAGTGTGCAGAAAATAGCATGCACTACATTGTGCCCAGGTAAATACATATCATCTCCTTCCAAATATTTTCTATCATTCTGAAAACGTATACTAGAACTAGATACCTAATCTTGACTTAAATGTGTGATAAACATTATTTAAATCCATTCTACGTTCAGTATTTACCTTACCAAGAAGTTAAACCTTCCTCCAAAAGAGTCCTTAACTTTATCACCTAAATATGCAAAGTTCTATAAGAGAACAAACAACCATGAATATAATCCTATGCTTCTCAGTGAAACTGCCAGAGGCAAAATTGCACTACTATAATTCAAATGATTTGAACAACATTGAAAACCACATAACGTTAGAAATAACAACCCTTGATCTTCAGAAAATCATGAAAATTAATAGGAACTGAAATTTAGAAAATGTTTTATCCTGAAATAGTTGATATGTAGTGTCAGTTTCTGGACAGGGGCAAATAAAACATTTGGAATGAATTAAAAGAAAGGCTAAGCTTTGTGACACCTGAGATAATGGATTTGGAAAATACAACATGGCCAGCACTTATTATCTGTACATCTTGGTCATCTGTCTTATGAATTATTTGCAGTGGTTTTTATACCAAGATTGCATCCCTCTGCCACTTGGCATCATCTTGTAGTATTTTATGTTTCTACCAGCTCTTGACTCCAGGTAAATTTGAGTTAATAGTTACCCAAATCCAAACAAAATCCCAAACACATTAAAATGCCTAGTCATATAATACATCCAGAAGTTAAGATAAAATTGTTTTGAAATAATCCATAAATTCAGTGTACTCAATGGTTAGGGATTCTATTATCAATTTCAGTGTTTGTATACACAGACTTAGCTCTCTTTGCTTTGCCCAATTTTTGTTTTTACTGCTCATCCTTTCATAAAACATTTCTCAGAAGTGAGCACAGAGAAAAATGTAATCCATGGGTTACATTTTCAAGTATTGATTCCAAGTATTAAAATGGGTTCCTGTACTGAACCTTTGAGGGCTCTTATTTATTGAACAAATTTTGACTTATAGGTAAGTGTAGAAGTTCAGATTTTACCATACACTGTCCCTTATTTCACCTAGGTTATGACTTATGTAATTCAGAGTCCATTGATCAGTTTGAGTCGAAAGAACAATATGGCTGTACACACACACACACAGTACATACACACACAGTACATACACACACACCACATACACAAACACACACATAAATATGTGCTAGTGCTTTAAGTAACAGGCACATATTGTTGAGCTACAGCAAAGCAAATGTCACTGCTCTGGGTAATTGGGAGTTGAAGTATGGACAACTCCTGTATTATGGAAATAGTAATGTGTTCCTTAATTCTGCACATAAGCATGTTTATATCCTAGTACATATTATGGGTAGTACATTTAGTCAGTAATAAGACAGATTTGTCAAACACTGTAAGCTACTAAAATTTATATTGTTTTTCCAGTATCCAGATTTGAGAAGTATAAAGGTTCAATAAATGAGTTTGGCATTATTTTATGTAGAATTATAGGTAATCATAAATATTTATGTATTTCAGGGGGAAATTAAACACTTTTTAAAGTTGGTTTAACATTTTAATCCTATTTCTTTAGTATACTTAAAAGGATTTGTTTTGAAGTATGACAGTTTATTCTTCAAATTGACATCAAATGGTATATTCTCAAGATAGAGATATCTCAGCTCATTATTACTGAACTTTCTTGCAAGTAATCCACCCAAATTAGAATAAAATTGGGTCAATTTTGAATTGTTATGTCACTGCCAAAATTAGGGATTTACTTAAATATTATTTCAGCATGAATAGAAATGTGCACAGCATCAAATAATGGAGAGAAATCATAAAATAAGCTATAAGTAATATTGTCTTTATAGGAAGGCATGGCAAAGGTTTCAGCCAAATCAAGTGGCCTGGATGACAAAATAAAATATAAAAAATATAGAAGTCAAGAGAGGGGGAGGGGAGAAGACAGAGAGAAGAGAATGGATGAGTTCTTTCACTACTACACATCCTTTGCTTCCAGCTCTCATACATCTTTGCTTTCACAGTTTACATAACACTATAAAGGAAGGAATCTTAGATCAAAAAGGAAGTCTTCTGATCTTCAATACAATATCCAGAAGCCTCACCTTTAATGAATAAATAGGAAGTGAGGTGACTTGCTTACATAGCTCCTGATGTGTCCCAGTAAGCCTTTCTTGACCCATCAGAAGGAACAAAATGCACAGAACTCCCACAGGTAGAGCATAACTCATTCACCAGAGGCTTAAGTGAATTCCAGGCTTCTCACTAGGTTATCTTTTTCCATTCTTATTGCTATGTTGAAATTGAGTTATGCTTCTTTTCCCTTTTAAGTAACTGCTTATTCTGACCTCATGCTGGCTTTTCTCATGGCAGTGGATGGCAGGTGGACATCCTGGAGCAAATGGTCAACCTGTGGGACTGAATGCACCCATTGGCGCAGGAGGGAGTGTACAGCTCCAGCACCCAAGAATGGGGGCAAAGACTGTGATGGCCTGGTCCTGCAATCCAAGAACTGCACTGATGGACTATGCATGCAGGGTAAGTCAAACTGAGGAAATGCAGGCACCGAGAGGTGTGAGACCAAGACATTTGGATATCTTGAAGGAATATTAGTAATTGAGGATACTGAACAGCAATTAAAATGTAATGATACAGCTCTATCCCAGCTTTCTTTCATAACTGGGAAAAGCTAATCTCTCAGGAACCAGAATGAATATTGATTGTCAGGTTAACAAATGTTACACATAGTATTGCTCTCACTCAAGCAAAAACAAACAAACAAAACAACAACAACAACAAAAATTCAGCCATTTTCATGGAGAGGCTGTCATTCTTTCCAGAGAACTGTTAACTCAGTTGTATTACCTAGCACATGAGGGTACCTAAAACTCCTCATAGAATCAAAGCATGTCTTACAAAAAGTGAGCTATTTACTTGTAATTCATGCCTGGCACTGAACCAACTTCCTTGAAATATGAAATATACAAGGACAATAAATATTTCTGCAGGTAGTTTTATGAATGTACAATAAATCTTTAGTTAAGAACATCTCTCAACCTCTTGAAAGTGCTAGGTTTGCGTTAGAAATTACATCATGAGTATAATTTAGCTTATTCTAAGAGAACATTATTGATAAAACAATGTTTAATGTGCACAGAAGTTGGTTCAGATGATATGCTAGATGCAATGAGCTATATTATATATTCATGCCTTATGCGTAGAATTTTGTCAGTGAAATGATAGCTTGCATTTAATACTTGCAAACTCCTAACCATTTGTTGCAGAGCTTTGGAATGTCCATTATTTATCATCTCTTTTCCTAACAATGAAATAAAGCACATAGAATTCTTCAGGCAAATGGATTAAACAATGTGCCATGGTGAATCTGAACTACTGGTGGCCAAATGTTGTCATTCCTCATGCATGCTGCATATATAATGAGATGTATTCACAGAGGAGTATTTGTGTTTGTTATTTAAGAACAAGGACTTTGTTTTCACCACACAAATGCAACTTTGTTTACTTTTCAGATCCTATATACACAAGGACCTTTAAAAAGAAAACTCACTTTAAGTACAAATACATAATACTGTTGCTCATACTGAATGAAAATCCAGGAGCCGCTGTCACTTGTGTTCCACAAACATTGCCATATTCCTAAGCTTCTGATGATTAGAGTTAGCTACTATGTACCTTACTGTTCATTCTAGAAATGTGAAAAATAAAGAGAAGACAGCTGTTTACTAATTGTCTGTCTAGAAATACAGGTTTCATCCCCAGGCACAAATTTTAATTGAGGACAAAAAAATAAAAACATAGAATATGCCACTTTTTTATTATTTCATATTCTTCTTTAGTATGAAACAAACTGATTGATGTAATTGAGAAGTACAAATATTTAGATTGGGGGTGTTGTTTTTCTTTAATACTTTCATCCTCTCTCAATATAATAACTCAGCATTGATAGATACAATGCCTCCTGCTTCTACTACATGTATTTAAATTCTGAACAAGATGGTTTATAATGACTATAGTGCTACATGCTACATGTCCTCTACAAAATACTTTCTAAACTATGACATTTGTCAAACACAAGAGATTCATATTAAGACCTCATGACTATCAGTTCCTCAGTATCTAGCTCATTTCTCATAGCCATAATGGAATTTTCCCTCATGATTGAATATTTACCAACAATAATGGCTGGCAGTGTGCTTATAATTAGGAAAGATAATTTGGGGCACAGGTGGTGTTTTTTGGTTTGTTTACTTATGTGTTTTCTTGCTTTAAAAAAATCAAGTCCCTTATAGAACAAAAACACTTTGGAGTTTGGATGGAAGTCGCTCAGGTAAAAAGCCATCTTTTCCTGCTGCTGTGATTTCTTATGCTAGCAGTTCCTACTCAGTCAATAAACTCTCTCATCTGTCCTCCTAGATCCACTCTAGCCCAGCAGAGAATTGTAGTCTCTACCACTATTGATTTCCTGGGTGATAAAACAATGGCAGAGAGATTGCTTCGATGTATAATTACAGTGTTTTACAGCGCACACTTACAGCCTCTGTTTCCCACTAAGCTTGGAATTTCTGGAGAAATATTGCTATCAAAGTTTTACAAAGAAATAATATTACCTTTAGTTGGAAAACAAAAGCCTTTTTAACAACAAAACTACAAAGCTTGGAGGAGAGACAATGTCCATGTTAAGAGAAAAGAATGGACTGGGACAGAAAGCCACAGAGTAGCAATTGCCTATGAGGAATTTGACATCTAATATGCATTTGCTTTGGGGTAACTCATATATCTTGAATGTGTTAAGTTATTTAGCAATACAATCATATTACCTAAAAACAAAGTCGGCCTACTCAATGTCAGACCAAGTATAAAATGAAATTTTTAATTCTCCTCAAATTATATATAATTAATTCTGTTATGAATATTGGTACACTGCTGGGTAAAAGAAGCTCTAAGTTCCTGATACATCTGATTAGGATTCAAGAGTTCCCTAGATACCATAGTACATTATTTTTCAATAAGCTAAATAGGTATTTAAGATCTATGAAAGGTGAAATTAATAGAAAATGCTGTTGTCAATATTTAGTCATTATTTTTCTCAAAACAACCAAATTATGACACATTTATTTCTTTACCATCTAACAATAGAAACACCTTTGATTCGAAACATGTAGACATATTAGGCAAAATGTTACAGACTTGAATACCACTATACACACAAAGAGAAAGAGAGAACAGGAAGAAGAGAGGAAAATCTACCAGTACCAGGGAGGTAATTGCAAGGCCGCAGGAGAAGCAGCTGTGTGGGAGACACCAGAGTGGCCAAGAGCGGAAGTGGACATGATTTGGGTCTTGGAGTGTGTGGGAGTCAGGATTTGCATTGGGGTCAGAGACTTAGTAAAAGTATTGGGCTGAGATTTGGAGCAAGAACTTAATAAAGCTGTAATTCATTCATTGCTGCCCACCATGAAAAACAAGTGGAACTGTTTTGCCCACCATCCCAAAGAAACCACAGGAAAATCACAGAGGGGAAAAAGGAAAGTGAAGTGCTTGTTTAAGTAAAATCTGTAGTAAAACCACAATGCTATACCCGGCTGTGGGATGGCACTTGAGATATATTATAGAAAGACATGTAATTAGCCTCTTTGGAGCAGGTTCTGAGGCAGCATAGCAGACAGCAAGCCACGAGACAGTTCCCTTTTGCAATCTAAGTGCATTGGTCTATGAGAAAAAAAGCCCATTCCTGAAAGTTGCATGAAATAACGGTTTAAAATCCCCTAGAGAACAGTCCAGTGTAAGGGACAACCTACAATAAAACAAAAGAGTTGGCACTCCATCACAGGGACTCAGGACAATAGTAAGTAAAAGTATAAATGCAACTGTATTTGACAATGAAAGCATAGAATATTGTTACAATGATGGGTACATTTAGAGGAATCAAATAGAATGTTGAAAAATTTAAACATGATGGTTGAAATTTAAAACTTCATGCAAGATTAATAATCAGATTAGATACAGCTACAGATAAAGGTGAAGAAAAAAATCAGGAGACTGGGATGCATATCAAATGGAGCTGAAAGAAACAGATGAAATAAAAGTATGTTATGTGAACAATAGTAGGGTAATTCGTAATTAACATGAGGAAATTTGACATTCATTAATCTAGAAATTGAAAGAGATTATGAGACAAGTAGAAACAAAGGATTCATTTGCTTCTCATAAAACTCACTGGGTGAACAACAAAATGGAAATTGAGAATTGATACAATCAAATAAAGAATAGTTGAGGGTTAGCTGAAATTAAGGAGAAACTAAATGATATTAATGTGAAACATAATAAGTTATAAACTAAGGTAGGATTTTAAAAATCCATGTATTATTCTGGAAGCAAATAGTAATGTTTTTCACATTACATTTCATTGATTCAAGTGATCCAGATATAATGGTAAGACTGTCTACAAATGTATAAATTGAATATATAAACTAAGGTAAAAAATTTAAGGGTAGGAATATAGGGAAAAAGAAAGGCCATGGTAAATATCAGCAATAAGCAAGATGATAGAAAGAAATATATACATTTCAAGAAATACAATATAAGTGAACTAAACTCCCTTTGTCAATAGAAATTTAAAACCTATGGAAAGAAATCCAGTTTTATGGTTTTGATGAGTTCAATACTTAAACCATACCAAGAAAGATTAAAAATGAAGACATGGAACTTACAATGTCTATTTTAAATAGCTGACTAAAATCTTTGATTATCTGCTTTGACCATCATTTAGTTCCATTTCTCATTACGCCTAAGTACATATCAGTTATTGTTCTATTCATAGTTCTAATTTATAAAGTTAATTTGCTTGGGCTTTATATTTTAAAAATATTTAATTTCCATTTGAAGTAATTTTTAAATGTTTACCAAGCTACTGTTGGTTTCATAAAAAGTCTTAACAAAGAGACAATGTCCCAGATATTAAAGTTGACAACAGAGGAAGATGTTCAGTGTTGACTTCTGATCTCTGCAAATACTCTCACAGGGAGCACACATGGACACACATATGTAACACACACATACACACACACACACACACACACACACACACACACACACACACACACACACACGGTTTTGAGAATCAGTTATAAAAGTATCTAATATTTTGAATTGGTAATTATGCTAAATGTTGATGCATTTGTAGTAGAAACTTGTGTTTTACTAGTAGATATTCAGATCTTCAAAATTATTTCAGGAAAAGAATTTTCAAAATTATAATATCCCTTAACCCACCAATCTCACCTGAATTAATAGATTTCAATTAATTAGTATAAATGCTACATATATATGTACATGTTTATCTATAGATTTTTATTTGTTTATATTGTTTTGTTTTTATTAAGCCCATTTTTTTATTCTTTGACTATTTTATGTCTATACAAAATATCCTGGCCTTATCCTTCCTCTAACTCCCCTCGACACCTCATTCCCGACGTGTGTGTGTGTGTGTGTGTGTGTGTGTGTGTGTGTGTGTGTGT